TTTGCTCAAACTAAAAACCCTACTTATCAATGCCAATATCCTGCTTTTGATATTGTACCTAGAGTTTTGCAAACTGTTGCTACTGGGGGAAACTGGGTAAGATCTCTCTGTTATTTTCTCTAATTACATGCAAATCTACATTTCAGTAAAACATTTCAATTAAAGGATTACATATTGATGGATAACTGTATGTTGTATATATACATAATTGAATATTATTTAGCCTTCAGAAATTTTGACATATGCCACAACATGGATGAGCCTTGAGGACATTACATTAAGTGAAATGAGCCAGTGACAGAAAGATATATGAGATATCTAAAATTGTCAAACTCATGCAGAGAGTAGAATGGTGACTGCCGAGACTGAGAGAGGGGAAATGGGGAATTGTTTTGTAGGAGTATACTGTTTCATTTATGCAGGTGGCTCTGTAGGACAATGGATAGTGAACTGGACTTCTAAAGTTTCAGTTTATACAAGATGAATGAGTTCTAGAGATCTGCTTAACAACACTGTGCCTATAATCAACAACATATTATACATGTAAAAATGCATTAGGAGAGTAGATGGCATGTTCAGGATACTGACCACAATTTAAAGAAACCTGCAAACCCAAGAGCCCCAGTGATCTCTGCATTCATCTCTCTTAGGGCACCAAGTCAACTTCAGCACTGCCCTGAGTGTCTTACAGAAAAAGAATGTGTGTTGAAGCCTTAGCAGCTATCTTGGGGTCTGGAAATCATGTGACACTCACACACAAAAAGAGTGCAAAGGGACCCAATGCACCGCAAATAATTATTAACATAAATGCAGTGTCTGTCAGCAGGGGGCAGGGTGGGGACAGGGCAAATTTAATGGTAATCGTGTGCCTCATCAGATAGGGGTGGCCACTGCAATGCATTCTGTAGAAACAGGTGCATAAAGGGGATCAGATCTTCTGCTGTTTAAGAGATTCCAGAAATCTGGACTTTTCTTTCTAAATTTTAATGTTAGTGATTCATTAAATTTTCTTTTAAACATGGTGAAAACCAAACCAAACAGGTCTGAGAGCCAGAATGCAGCCTGTCGGGTACTTGATGGGCTCTTTAAATATATTTTCTCCCCATTCTCCCTAAAAGCCCCCCAGAGCAGGGCTTGCTCTCCCTGTATTCTAAATGGGGTGAAATAACTCACCCAAGGTCACACAGTTGGCAGGGTGCTTGGCAGCTCTTGCTGGAGGCCCTGTTGGTTCTGTTGACTCAGCATTCCATTACTTACCATTCATTTAGCAAAGGCTAGTTTAAGCAAGTTATGGAGAAGTAATTTCAGCTCCATAAACACTGAGTCAGGCACACCATTTCTAGACCATGTGTTGTCATGAGATGGACTACCAGGAGAGTCTTTCTGTTCAACACGTCACCCCTGTCACCTCCAGGTTAAATCACACAAAACACTTCTTCCCTTGAAAGCACCTGAGCTAGTACATTTATTCATATATTTGATCCATGTCTGTGTCTCTACTGGTCTCTAAAGCTCCAGGGAGACAGAGACTATTTACGATTTTGTATAACCGAAGAATAAGCATGATGTCTGGCCCAAAGAACTTTAATAAACACTTGGATCAATGAATCAAAAAAGGGACTGGCCAGACAGAATGGCCCCATTCAATTCCACTAAACTAATGCCACCACCAACAAGGACAGAAAATTTCTGGGAACCTTTTCAAAGGTGCTCATGCTCCTTTGAATAACAAAATGGCCTGGCCAGACCACTGGCCACACCAAAATCCGAGAAAGGCAAGGGCCATTTATGATGGTGCTCCATGCAGTAGTAAACTTCTTCCTTCAGAGTCACATTCCGTCCACCCATCAGATATGGCTCCAGAGTCCATCTCCCCTTTACCAGCCTGGCTACCACCTGAACACCTGGCTGCAGAGACAGAACCCTATGAAACAAGATTTGTATAAAGCACACTGTGCTCATCTCAGATACATATGCCAAGCCCATGCTGCAGCCAATACAACTGGCAAGAGGCCTACCATAAAGGAGCTGAGAGCAGAAAGACCTCTGACAAGAGAGAACCAGCCACAAGGGCCTTCTGGGCTGTGGACATGATAAAGGCACAGATACGGAGGTAGAATCACAGGGCATGCTGGGGGAAAAGTGAGTTGGACTAGATCTAAGGCAGCCTAGAGCTGAGGATGGCAGGAGGAATGACAGCAAAGACAAGTAAGAAATGTCACAATGCTGGCCATCAGGTGCTTTCCTTCAATAGTGTACAAAGTGCAACTCCAAGGTTACTACAGACCACAAACATGCTCCATTTAGTCGAAAGTTTACCGATAATTTAAAAGTAGAAGCCAATATTGTATTGAATGGAATTAAACTGAAATCATTTCCACTCAGATCAGGAACCAGGCAAGGGTGCCCATTGTCTCCACTGCTTTTTAACACCATAATGGAAGTTTTAGCCATTGCAATTAGAGAAAAAAAGGCGATTAAGGGCATCCATATAGGGTCAGAAGAGATTAAACTTTCACTTTTCGCAGATGA